GTATTAAAAGGTCACAGTTATCCGACACCCTCGGTTATTATGCATGGCAGTTACTGAGTTTACGGTATAAAAAGACGTAAATTAATCAGTTAAACAGTATCAGTAACGATTATTGGTTACGGTCGCGGGAGCAGACGCGTCATAGTGTCTCCGCTTCCGATATTTTGCCGTGATTGAACCCCAGCTGAAAATAACCGAGTCTGAAGCAGAGTCTTTCGATAGTTCTTAGTCATCCGTGTGGTCTTCGGCCCGGTTGGTTGAGCATGTAGCTGCTGTTTCGCCTTCTTTTCTCTTACGTCCACACTATCGCAGGTATGACTTCTCAGTCTGAAGAAGCAGGGGCTGTACACTAAGGCTCTTGCGGATATATGCATTCCGGACCATATCGAGACGCGTAAGACCATCGTCTCAGAAAGCTCATTTCAGCCGCTTGTATCCGGTTTTCAACCATGGCCATAGCTGAGCATGGCGATGAAGATCAATAGAGACAGCTTAGTTTTTAGATGTACTTCTGCTTTAATCACAAGGGTTCTGGCTGAATTACAGAAGCTATAGGCGACTCTAATTCGCTGATCGATAATCTTGCATTTTCCATGATTACTAAGCACGATCCAGAATTACGTGGTCTTCACTGTTCCACTGCTTTTCTAATTATGTGCAGAGCAAGGAAACATCGTTTTCGTTTCCGACGTCTGTTTCGTGAAACCATTATTGCACGCATAATCATAATTCCTTAGGAACATCTGTTTTGTAAAGGAACATTTTTTTACGATGCAGTAACCGTTTCTTTATATCGGAAGAGTTGTAAAGCTGCGGATATGGGACATCACAAACAGGGCGAGAAGCGACGATTGATCTGAAATGAAGATTTAAGGCATTATAGGGGCAAAAATTAGCCACGCAGAAGAACAGAGAAAAATATGGTTTCACAAGGCTTGCTGTTCATGTCCGAGCCACGAATTTTTACTTCAGTATACAAGCCGTAGCTGATAAACTGGCCAATAGCTATTTCGAAAGCCATCACTCCAGTGCACTGTTTCTGTCGTGTACGTATCAGGGCTATTTTAAGAGTTATGCACAACTGTTGAAAAACTCTAGGAAACGTTCTACAATTTCGTCATGGCTTTTTCAAAAATCACATCAATAACAAGGTCAGTCAACGAATAACGCAGAGCAAAGTTAATCACTGGTCAAGTATATTCTCGATTCCCAGACGAGAATGCACCACAAAGTTAATGATTGCAGTAAACAGATGACAGAATAAAACACGATTGTCGTGGGAAAGATTGTGGCAACCATGTGATGATGAAACGTCAGAGTATTACAGTTTCTACAGTCCGAAGAGAATTGGACTTCGAATGAATAAACGACGCCTCGTTCAAGATTCTCGTCACAGTCGGATAGTTTATAATATGGCTGCATTCTTCTGTCTGCAGCATTCCTATTTAAGCAGCAACTTAGGTAATAACTGTATTAGATTTTCTGCTTCCTTCTAGTTTCATATCTTAAGACTTATTTGACAAATCACATGGTCTCCTTTGCTTCAGGCTGTGTAGAGAACCGTTTCAACAAACCACAGCTCCACACAGCATACCAATCACAATATAATCTGGTGACTTTAATCAGAAAATTTGTGGATTATCGTCGGGAACGGTTTGTTCGCCAAGATCGTTCGAAGCACTGGTGAAATATGCACGCCAACTTTTTTGGGCCGGTAATAAACAGCTCTCACAAACCGTTATATAAAAGCAGCTTACAAGAGCGAGAGAAGCGCTGCATAACATCATCAAGTGGTATATAATATCCGATCTCTAAATCAGAGATGCTTAAATCCGTTAAGTCCATAATTGCAGCTGGTCTGAGGCATAGAAAAGTATCCTTGGCAAAATCTGTACTAAACCTGTCGATCATATGATGAACTGTGTTCAATGACTGAATACGAATGGTTCAGTTTCATCGACCACATTCCAGAATTTGAGGATGTTTTAATCTGCATAATTTATTCTGATACTCTTTTGCATACTGATAATAAAGAAATGTTAATATATAAAAACTACTGTTGCGCGAGAGAGAAACTTGCAGTACGATTAAGTATTATGCTGTTAATTGCTACGATATTCTGGATGGCTCAAATTCAGGAAATGTGGCTGAAAATTGTTTCTTAATCGTAGCTTTAGAAATATGTTTCAGTAATAATGTTTTTTTGTTCTTCCTATTCTGGCTTTGTTCAGCCACAGCGGTTTGTTTCGTTGCTAAATGCGTCAATAAACTAGAGAAAAATCGTATGTATCAGCTCCTGCTTTAAGAAAAGTGGTTGTATAGGTAGTCAGTTAATTCAATATTTACTGAACGAGAAGTCTTTCATATAATTGGCAAAATTACTGATTTTTCTAGTATAGGTTTACTTACAAGTTGTTAGTTTTGGATGCCTTTATGAAGAATATCAGTCCTGTCG